AATATTATTCAGTCAGAGCGACCTTCTTTAATATTCATGAGTTTTGTCTGTGTGTTTATATTTACACAACAAACCATATTTATAAGCGAATTGATTGGCAATATAGAAAATCACATGAGATCATGAATATGAGGTTTGTCTACTAAAGTGAAACATAGTAGAAATGTGTAAAAGTTTTGAAAGTGTTGAAGAGACATTAAAGGGGGAATAACTTTGTTTATGATTACAGTCTAATTCACCGTGTATAGTGTTTATGGATGAGATAGATGCTATAACTCAGAAAAGAGAAACAGCATCTAAAGAGATGGAAAGAAGAATTGTCACTCAGTTATTAGCCTGTTTAGATGGTAAGGAAGAAAGATTCTGTTTTAAATGCTCAGAAGACACATTTCTTCATGAGAACCCTACATTTGATACACAGGTGATTGAAGTTACAGGTGCCTGGTTGTTTGAAGGAATCCAAATTTCATAGTATATTAACAAACTTAATCTTCAGTATTGAAATGCCGCAAACTACTTAATTCTCATCTCATGCCTCTGACATGCGACACTAATGCAAAATTATCAAGACAGATTCTCCTTTAAATAGAGCTTAATTGTCCAATACATTTATGGGCTTTAGGCTTATGGCTTAGGTAAGCCAACTCAAACAACAGGATGGGAGGTAATTCTTGGACTTAAATATTTGCCATTCAATTACTGAAACAAGTTGCATGTGTTATATTAACAGATTTAAACAGTAAACCAGAAGCTAATGTATTAGTAATAGGAGCTACCAATAGACCTGATAGTATTGATCCTGCCTTAAGACGTGCTGGAAGATTTGATAGAGAAATATCATTAGGTATACCTGATGAATCAGCCAGATATAGGTAGGGTCATATTTTGACTCCCCCCTCCCTATTCGCCCTAAAATGAGGTTGACCTCACCCACTTCCAAAATGCCCCCCCTTGACAATTCCTTGTCCAATCATATCTTTTTATTACACTGAGGCAATGCTTAGTAGGTAGCCTTCTTTTGAGGAAAAAATATATCCTTGTGTTGGCTCTCTCATGTACACATTTTTCCCCAATGCCTTATCGATATCAGATTCTAGATTAATGTTGTAGTGGTTTCATCTTATTATTTCAGAATATTACAAGTACTGTGTAGAGAATTAAGATTATCAACAGATTTTAGTTATGAATCACTAGCTCATAATACTCCAGGTTTTGTTGGTGCTGATTTATCAGCTCTAGCAAGGGAGGCAGCCATGAATGCTGTCAATAAGTAAGAAGTCAAGTTTTTGTCATAAATTTTGTACTGAGATATAATATTGTTGATTTTTTCTTTTTGTCAGGATTTTGATATCCAACACATTAGTTGTGTCTGGTCTGTTACATGGAATTCTGGGATATTCATTTTTAGTATAAATTGATATTTCTGAACTTCACAAAGATTCTATGGCTTTGATGAGATAACATGCTTCATTTGGTGCTCACACATTCCACAAGAAAAGAAAATTTTTTTGAATGTAAACATATGTAAATTTCAGAATATTTAATGAAGTACAGTCTCAGTCAGAGATACCAATGGTTTGTGATGATGTCAATATCAAAGATCCTGAACTTTTAACAGGTATGTTAAACATTACTTATCACATTTACACATCTTCCTGAATCAAGGTTTTTTGGTAATTTTCTCATAGGAATGCCATGGCAAGGTTTCCAACTTGCTGGTTGCTGGAGGGATGTTTGTGTCTGTTTATTGGTCTAAAATACATTTGATGTTGGCATTTATTACATGATTACCAAGGACCAACTGGTAGAGAGGACCCTCAAGTTGTTCTCCTTGGGATTTTTGGATTTTTTGTTCTTGTATTATGTCATTCCCTTCTCAAATTGATATTTGATTTTTCTTGCTAAGATTTTTCCTTAGACTTGATTTCACATAATGAAAGTGAGAGATACTGTAGGCAATTTAGTAAATTTCCATTTTATTTTTCAGTGTTACAATGGTTAAAAGAACAACCTCCATTATCAGATCACCAACTACAAAATCTCTTCATTACCATGGAAGACTTTCAGGTATGTTGATGGCACAGTTTCTTTGTTTGTTGAACTCGGAACTGAGTGCTGATAATGAAAGGATAAGATTAGAAAAACTTATTTAATTCGCTTAACAGAACAGAAAACTATTGATATAGAATGAAATGAAGATGTTGCATGATAATTTACTTATTCATCTCAATCTGAATAAAATGCAAATCTGTGACAGCATCTATCATTCTTTATCTTTCATTCAACCAATCAAATGCTGTGTTCATTTTAAAAATTCATTGAAATGGAATCTTGTCAGATTATGTATGGGGAATGTAGCAAGCCATAGAAAAAACACAAAACATATTTTAATCAGATTGTAAAGTGACATGATATTATTATTTCAGTCAGCATTGAAACATGTTCAGCCATCAGCTAAAAGAGAAGGTTTTGCTACTATACCAGATGTTACATGGGATGATATTGGTGCTTTAAAACAAGTTAGAGATGAACTACAGTTAGCTATATTGGTAAGATTAATATTTTTCAGCAGTTTTATTTCAAAAATAAGTTCAGAAATATCAGGCAGCATCACATAACTGACATATTCGGAATACTGGCATTAAAATAGTGTAGTATTTTGTCAGTGCTGCAGAAGAGATTGACATGAATCTTGGCACAATTATCAAAGCAAAAGTCACCCCATTGTACAATGCATGGTTTGGGTCAATTTGCCATTGCTTAATCAGATGCAAAATTTTAAAAACTCCTCTTAATTTCACTATTTAATAATAAATCATCTGTTTTGTAGGCACCGGTCAAACACAGTGCTGAGTTTAAAGCTCTTGGACTCACATCACCTCCAGGAATCCTACTAGCTGGTCCTCCAGGTTGTGGTAAAACATTACTGGCTAAAGCTATAGCTAATGAGTCTGGTATTAACTTTATATCTGTCAAAGGTCCTGAATTGTTAAACATGGTACATATTGTTTCGAATTTTCCCTTTTTATTGTATCACTTGTACTTGTGCAAAAATGAAAAAATATCAAAACAGGACCTAAATTATCTTGTTCCAAAGAGTTTCTTAACAGAAAAAGTGTCACTAAACCGAGGCCCATGTGCAACAGGCTGTGTGTGTTAAAAGATACCTCAACAGTTAAAAATTGAAAAAAGAAAAGGCCAATGCTGCTGTCCTGCAAAATTTCACTCATTGAACATTGCCTGTCCTCAATTACCCAGTAAGGTGCAGAAAATTAGGATGTAAAACTCAATTTAATTTCCCTTTCATTGTTCTTGGAGATAAAATATTTATGACATTAGAAAGTCAGTTGTTTGTTGGCTCTGTTCTCATTTCCACCAAAACATCAACAAACATGATTTATATTTGTTCATAACATTATCTCTGTATAATTTTAGTATGTCGGTGAAAGTGAACGAGCCGTTAGACAAGTGTTTCAAAGGGGCCGTAACTCCTCTCCATGTGTGATATTTTTTGATGAAATTGATTCCCTTTGTCCTAGAAGATCTGCTGCAACAGATGTTAGTAAATTATTTGAATTGTTTAAAATCCAAATCTCAAAATATGCAATATCAGTCAAGGCCCTTTCGTGGTAGTGTTCCGCTTATTTATTATTATCTCTACCCCTAAATGTTGCTTAAGAATTATTTAAGTATTCTTATTCCATCCATTTCTCAAAATAAAAAGAAAGATGA